TATAAGGCGAATAGGCGATGGAACGAAAGTGAACGAGACGCGATTGGGCAAAGGCGAAAGAGACAAAGATGCAATAAGAGAATGAAGAAGCAAAAAAATTCAAAAATGTGGGGCAAAGGCGAAGCAACGGATGTAAAAAAGTGAAAAGGCTAAGAGACGATGAGGATGAGATGCGAAGAGAGGAAGAGGCAAAGAAACAACGAAACGATGCAAAGATGCGAAGGTGAAGAAAAAATCCAAGGGACTAAGAGGCAAATGCGAAAAGAGGAACAGGTGGAGAAGGAAACACAAAGATGCGTAGGCGAAGAAACTAAAAACGAAAAGCAAAACCCTGGGCAAAACTGAAGATGTGAAATGGCAAATAATAAAGACGAAAAGACTAAAGGAGAAAAGGCGGGGAGAGGAGGAGGAAAGGTGAATAGCCGACGGGGAGATGGTGTGAGGGCGAAGGCAAGGAAGCGAGAAGACGATGTGACAAAGAAGTGAAAGTGAAGCGGAAGAGTGCGTAGAGGTGAAAATATGTGAAGAGGGTAAGAGGCAAGGAGGAGAGAAGACAAGCGATGAGGCGAAAAGGCGAAGAGAAAAAGAGGCGAAGAAGTGAGTATGGGAAGAGGAGAAAAGCGTATGGTGAAGAAGCACAGGTGAAGAGATAAATGCGAAAAGAAAAGGTAAAGAGGAGAAGATGATGACGAAGAAGCGAAAATGCGAAAATGTTGAGACGAAGGGGGAGAAGTGATTATTTTCAATCAATGTATACAATACGTATTCCCAAGTATTAATTTCAGGCGTAAAGCCAGCCATTGAATGAGAAAATTAATGGCTTAAGTAATTAGAGTGATCTAATTAGAAAAACTCGCAAACCGAAATTTGAAAAGTACAAAACAACAAACAAGATACGAAAAAAAAGGGACAAATCATTGAGCTCGCATCTTAATTCGGAGAGATTAATGTGATGTCACCGACATTCCCAACCCTTATGCATTCCTAACCTCCCCCTTTGCACCCCCTGTCACATCACCACACACCCTTACGTATACCGAAAGTACAGTGGCTGCGCGTTTTTCGTCGATTTAAATTACGCGTTCGTCAAACTCGCATTGGAAATGATAAGGGATTGTCGGACGGTGAGTGACGCGACGGCGCCCCTTCCGTCTTATCGGCGATTAGCGAATTTTCGGCGGTCGAAAAGACGCGCGCGGGCGTACGTCACTGACGAAAAACGTCGCTTATCAGACAAAGAGTCGCCTTTTGCTGACGTGGAAAAATCGCATCAGGGCATAACATTGACCGCGCCAACGACATCCATTGTTACGTCATCTGACAAGATATTTTTTGCGGAAGAAGGCGACTTTTGTTTGCTTCTTCGCTTTTAATGAAAGCGACTAACTATCAGTAATTTATGTTTACTTGAATGCCTTTCTGTGATGCTGAGCGTTCGATGTGCGGAAATGCGAAATGGCCTTCTCCGGCGTCTGCAGATATTTGACGAACCGAAACTGCGAGCGTCTTTTTTTCTGTGAATTACAAGCAAATTTCGATGGCAAATTATTGCGTTAAATTAAAATTAAATCATTTTTGGATTCCAAAATGGATATAGTATTACAGTTCCTAAACGTTAGGACTGACATAGTGATATAGTTATAACCGCATTTCGATATCCGCAAAATTGAAGGAGTAGTTTGCATAACAAAGAATACAAAAATGCGAAGGAGAAAGCGAACACAAATGGGAAGACACGAAGAGAAAGAGAAAAAAGCGAAAAGACTAATAGTCAAAGGCAAAGAGGTGAAAGAGTGAAGGAGTAGAGGTGTAGGGTAAGACGTGAAAAGGTGAGGTGGTGGAGAAACAGAGGCGAAGGGGCCAATGCGAACAGAAGAAGGTGCAAAGAGACGAAGAGACAAGAACGTAGACGAAGAGAAAGTATTAACGAGGCGATAAGAAGAAGAGTCAAAAGTGGAGAGGCGAAGAAGAAGAAGCGAATGTGAACACGAGGAGATGAGGGAAGAGCGAAAGAGGCAAACAGGAAAGAATGTGAAGATAAGAGGAAGTGAGGTTGAAGAGAAGAAGCGAAGAGGAGTAGAAAAGAATAGGCGATGAAGGCGGAGAGGTGGAAAGACGAAGGAAAAGAATATACACTGCCTTTTTTTGAGCCCCGAAAAAAAATTGTCTCACATCGACCAAGAAAAAAAGTTTTCTTATAGAATGTGGCCTGTAGAATCCATAATTTCAAACAGTTCCAAGATTGGGCTACTAGTTCAAAAGTTACAGCCCTTTGAATTTTTTTCGAAATTGGTTTCTAGTCTATAACTTTTGATTGAGAAGTCTGATCGAAAAAGTACGAATTGTTTTGGATTCTACGCACCAAAATTAATAAGAAAAAGTGTTTTCCCGAGAAATTTTGGTGCAGTCGATTTTTGGTAAACAAGGAAGGTTATACACTGCCTTTTTTTGAGCCCCGAAAAAAAAATTGTCTCACATCGACCCGGAAAAAAAATTTTCTTATAGAATGTGGCCTGTTGAATCAATAAATTCAAACAGTTCCAAGATTGGGCTACTAGTTCAAAAGTTAGAGCCCCTTGAATTTGTTTTCGAAATTGGTTTCTAGTCTTTAACTTTTGTTTGAGAAGTCTGATCGAAAAAGTACGAATTGTTTTGGATTCTACGCACCAAAATTAATAAGAAAAAGTGTTTTCCCGAGAAATTTTGGTGCAGTCGATTTTTGGTAAAAAAGGAAGGTTATACACTGCCTTTTTTTGAGCCCCGAAAAAAAAATTGTCTCACATCGACCCGGAAAAAAAATTTTCTTATAGAATGTGGCCTGTTGAATCAATAAATAAACAGTTCCAAGATTGAGCTACTAGTTCAAAAGTTACAGCCCTTTGAATTTTTTTTCGAAATTGGTTTCTAGTCTATAACTTTTGTTTGAGAAGTCTGATCGAAAAAGTACGAATTGATTTGGATTCTACGCACCCAAATTAATAAGAAAAAGTGTTTTCCCGAGAAATTTTGGTGTAGTCGAACTTTGGTAAAAAAGGAAGGTTATACAAAGAAGAATCAAGGACGCAAAAGTAAAGGCAAAGAGGTGAAAAGGCGAAGAGGCAATGCCAAAGACGTGAAGGCGAATAGACGAAGGAGAAAAAGAGGAAAGCAAAGAAATGAAAACTAGAGGCTTAGATGCGAAAGCGACTAGGCGAGTGTGCAGAGGCCAAGAAGCAAAGGCAAAGAATTAATGGCGAAAAAGTTATGTGGCAAATAATCAAGGGCGCAGAAGCCAAATCGAAGGCGCAAAAGTTAGAAAGAAAGCGAGGAGGAGAAGAAACTAAAAAAGGAAGAGGGTACAGCGAAAAGGCAAAGGCGAAGATGTGAAAGCGAAACGACGAAAAAGAAGAGGTAGATGCGAAGGCGAAGAGGTAAAGGTGCAGAGGCAAAAAACAAGGGCAAAAAGGAAAGAGCGAAGTGAGCTCACGGAGGGGAAGGAGCGAAGTAGAGATGGCGAAGAGACAAGGGCGACCGAGAATAGTGAAGAAAAAAGGCTAAGAGGTTTAGAGGCGAAGAGACGGGAGCGAAGAAAAGAACGAGAAGAGAAAAAAACTCAGAAGCGCGATAGAGAAGAAACGAAGGGGTGCGTGTGAAATGACGGCTAAGAACGAAGGCAAAAAGGCGATGAGGTAGAAGTACATAGGAGAGAGGTAGCCACGGGGCGAATGAATACCTAGAGGCGAATGGTGAAGGCGTAACCGAAAGAGCTTTGAGGTAAAGAAGCGAACAGGAAAAAGGCTAAAGTGAAATGACGACTGTGAGGAAATGCAGATGAAGAGAGGAAGCGAAAAGGAGAAGAGAATGCGTAGGGGCGAAAAAGTAAGGGAGCAAATGCGATCCAGCAACGGCAAAGGGGTGTGAAAAGGCGATGAGGCAATGGCAAAGTCATGAATGCGAATAGGCGAAGGAGAAAAAAAGGAAAACAGAGAAAATAGAGTGAATAGGGTAAGTGGCGAGGACGATTAGGTGACGGTTCAGAGACAAAAGGGAAAGTAAAGACACAAGGGTGAAGGTGAAGAGGAATGGTGACGACGGGAGGTGAGGGCGACAAAAAGGCAATGATACGAGACAGTGAGATGGGGAAAAGGCAAGAGCAAAGAAGGTGGAGACACAAAAACGAGCAGGCGAAGACGGTAGTGATGCGAATGTGACAAGAACGATGGAGAACGAGGAGATGGAAGTGAATAGAAGTGACGAGGAGAAGAAGAAGTGGCGCAGGAGGGAAAGCGGATAGGTGAAAAGGAGATGAAGGTGAAGAGGCAAAACAGCAAATGCGAAGAAGCAAAAACAAAGGCGTGAAGAGAAAAGACGAAAAAGAAGAAAAAGAAAGTGTAGAAACGAAGGTACAGAGGAGAAAATCCAAATGCGAAGAAGCGAAGCGAAAGATAAAATCGAATAGGAGAGAGACGAGCAAGTAAAGCGAGAAAGCGAAGATGCAAAAAGGGCGACGACTAAGGCGAAAAAATGAAGTAAAGTAGAAACGAAATGGAAGAGACAAGTAAAGAAGAGACAAAAAGTAGCGATGCGGAGGCGAAAAGGCAAAGGCGAAGAGGCAACAGCGAAGAACCAAGTGCGCAGAGACGAAGGCGGGCAGGTGATGGCAAATCGGCCAAAAAGGCGAAGAGGAAATGGTGAAGGGGTGAAGGCGAAGAAACGAATGCCAAGAGAGGAAACCGAAAATAGCTAAGCGGCTAAGAGGCAAGCAGAGACGAAGAGGTGAAGATGAAAAAACGAGTAAGCCAAGGGACGATGCTAAGAGAAGAACTCGAAAATGCTAAGAGACGAAGGGGCGCAGTGAAGGAGAAAAATAAAGATGCGAAGTGACAAAGAGACGAGAACGTGATGTGGCGAATGAGTTAAGGCGAAGAAGCGAAACAAAATAATAAAATCGAAAAGAGGAAGAGGATAAAGCAAAAAAGCAAATGCAGTAATGAAGAAGCGAAGAAGCAACGCAAAGAAGCATGTACGAAGAGGGCAGGCGGATGCGAAAGGGCGAAAGGGGTGAAAGGGCGAAGTGGAGACGGCGGAGACTAGGGCGAAACGAAGAAAATGAAGGGGTTGAGAGACGAAAGAAACGAAGGCGAAGAGAAAAAAGCGAAGAGGCGCGAGGGGGAAGAAATGAAGAGGTGCGTGTGAAGGAGCGGAGAAGAAGGGAATGTAAAAAGGTAAAAGTACAGGCACAGATGAAAGCGGAGAAGCGAAAACAAAGTGGAAGAGACGAATGGGAAGAGGAGAAGACGAGGATGCGTAGACGAAAAAACGAAGGCGTGAAGCTGAAAAAACGAAGACGAAAAAGGGAAAGAGGAGGAGTTGAGGAAAGGAGAGGAGAAGAGGCAAAGGAGAAATGTAAAAAGGCGAACAAAGGAAAGGTGAAATGGGGAATGTGTAGAGGCGAAAAGCGAACAAGCGCCATCGAAGGGGTAAAAGCCAAGAAGCAAGGGCGAAAAGATGACGGGTAAGAGGCGATAGCTGTAAACAGGAGAAGCCATTCGTGAAGTCGAACAGGCGAAAGTGAAGAAAAGAACGCGAGGAGACGAAAGCGAAGGGCGAAGTAAAGAAGGGGTAAGAAGGATAAACCGGAAAAGGAAAGAGACCTAGAAAGGAAGAGGAGAAGTGGAAGATACATAGATGTGAAGGCAAACAAGAGGTATTGGTGACGAAGTGAAAGGGAAGGAACAAGACGTAGAGATGAAAGCAAAGATGCCAAGGCGGGGGGGAGGGGGAGGCGAGTTCAAAACGGAAAACTTGTGGAGGCGATGGCAAAGAGGGAAAGACGAAGAGACGCAGACGAAGCCGAGAACAAAAGGCAAAGGGGAAATGAGAAGAATAGTAGATAAATAAATAAAGGGTGTCTAAAAAACAAATATGAACATGCGAAGGCGAAGAGGAAATCGTGAAGACACGATGGCATTTTAGGAAGGGTGATACCCTATACATACAACCATAGAAGTGACAATGGAACTAACGTGTACTGGGGGTATTCCATACCCCTCGGGCGCGCTACATCCTCCGCAGTACTTCTTAGGGGAAGGAGGTATGATAATTTTTTTAAATCGTGAGACTCCTCAAGGCTAAACGTTTTGTGGAAGAAAATGGTACCCCCCCCCCCCCAAGCAAAGCAAAATTCGATTCAAAGAGAGTAGTTCAATTCAATAATTTCAAAAAAGAGTACACCACTTCAAGTTAGTTGAAATGTTCAATAAACAGTAAGCTGGAAGCAGAGGCGTGGTACGAACAGACAGACGGTTTAATTACTGATTTCAATACGAACGTTTCGAATAACGTGAGGTGCTACCAGGACGTGTGAAGGGACGAACAGACGGAGTGGGCTCATTTCTTGTATTGTAGGAGCTTTTTTATAAACTTTTATATTATTATATCATCCCCTAAAGTGAAATTCTAACTAAATATTTGAATGGGTGTTAGTGATAACCACAAAAGTATAATTTTCCGGTGACAAAAGAGGGTGAGAATGGAAACACCCCGTATACAAAAGCTAATCAAATTAGAATACAAATGTTAGATGGAAACGCATAATCGAGTTAAATGACTGTAAATGGTGTAATATATCAAATCTTCATATTCTCTAAGTGGTAGAGAATTCGCCCTTTGTCCGAATGTCCACTTCGCTCTTTCACCCTTTCGATAAGGACCGTCCATTTCTTATCGCTCGCGCCGCGCGTTTCCACCCCTAATGTGCGACTTTAACTTGATTTGCCTAAAACCGTTGCCCTTTGATTCATTGCGAGAGAAGTGGACGCGCTCGCTTTTCCAAAAATTGTTTACTGTAAGAGCGAGCCTTTTTGATGCGATTTAAAGTGCATATATTGTCGATATATCTTAGATGTCAGTGCAATCGCATTAGAAATGCTAAAATATGCCATCTGGCGGATGATTTATTAGGATTAAAGGAAGGCAGGGTGGATTTTGTCGCATGCTTGTTTGAGAAAGAACCTTCTGCATTATTGTCGTCGTCTTAAAACGGAACCGACGTTAAATTTAATGCTCTCCCTTTTTCCCCATTCGCATATTACGAAACAATCGCCCCCCCCCCCCCTTCCCAAACATCGCGAATCTATTAATTTAAACACTTAACTAAAGTCAATTACGTTTCGAAAAAATTACCACCGGAAACGGACCCCTTCGACGGCGCTCGTCCGCCGTTCGCCCGTCTCCTCGTCTAGTTTGATCGGGCCTAGGCGGCGAGGGGGTGGCATTGATTACGAAACTAATCAAATGAGGGTATCGGGGCGTTTACTGTTTCACGAAAATAGGCGGAAGAGGCACCGAAAAAAATTGTTGTATCTTCCTAAAGTATAAATTAATTTCGATCGGTTCTTCCTCGTCTCGTCGAAATAAAGTCAAATTTATGCTAAACTAACTCTCATGGAAACTGTTCACAATGTGCTAATGACGTAATAATAATGGGTTTTCGCAATTAATATCTCATAATGTTAAACGATGCCGTCATATTGTTTCATAATGGGCTGGATTTGCATTAATTATCATAGTCATTTAAATAACACCCTCTAGAATATTTTACTATACTAATCTAAGCAGCCATTTTAATCGTTATTATTGCACCGCGGCCCTCTCGAGCGTGCGGTTAAAAAAATTCACGAATCTATGTTGGCGCCTGCAACGTGGGGCTGCCTCGTGCAATTTTTTGGCGCCCTACTAATTTCTCCACATTTCCAATTTTTCTTTTTCTTTATTGGAGAATATTCGTTAACAGAGCAAACTAATTTTAAAACAATGGAGTCCTATACAGGGTCGCTGATAAGTCTGGAAACGGTCGACTATCGGGGAAAATATGCAAGGTATCAAAAAAAGTTTTATACAAAAGATTTGAGGTTCTTTAATGTCGACAAGGTGGCTGTAATTTTAATTATACCGGGTTGCTCATAAAGGCGTGGTACACCAATATTTCATTTTTTGATGGAATATTCTGTATATTATTCGATATTTTAATTCTTCTCTCAATTTTGAGCATAATTTGTAAAAAGCATAAAATACCCAAATGCAATCGTTTCCGAGTTATCGAGTTTTGAAAATAAAATGTACTTATTGAATAAAGAACAATAATTAATGACATCACGAATTTCTTTTGAAAACATTATGTGATTCTGAAAAGAACCGTTTGTGAAGTTTGTTATGATTGTTTGGAATCATTAAGTATTGTTTTTTCTTCGATTATTAATTAATTTTAAAATAATAGCGTTTATTTTCAAAACTCGATAACCCGGAAACGGTACATCAAGAGGTCGACCAAGAAGATGTGATGGTCAAACCAGGAGCAATATTAATTTTTTGAGGGCGTTGGTGATCCTACATTTAATTTCCGAACAAATAGAGTAAAGGTCAGCAAGAATTGACTGAAAGGTAAGGAAGGAAAAAGAGCGGATCTCAATGGTGTGGGGGTGTAGAAACGATATACATACAGCTACAGATAACAAGAGAAAAAAAGTTGAAGAAGAGGCGATAAATATTTGATTTTGTATGGAGTGGAGGTTTGAAGCATGGCATGAGACAGAGGGAAAACAAGAAAACGTAAACGATACGAGAATAAAATTTCAAAGAAAGCGGGAATGAGGCAAGAAAGAGAAGCAAACAAAGCTTGAGGGTGGACTGAAGAAAATATGACGACGGGAAATGAAAAGGGGTTAAGGATATGTAAAGGAATTTTAAGCAAGGCTTGAAAGAAACATGAATGAATCATGGACGATGTGCGAAAAAGACGTAAAGTGGGTCATGGAGGAGCAAAGGTGAAAGATTGGGAGGTAAGATATGATGAACGACAGATATAAAAGGGCGATGAAATGAAGCGTAAGAATGTCAAAGAAGGCGTGATGAAAAATGTGGGAGAAGGAACATATAAGACCTGCAGAAGTGTGAAAAAACCATCAAGGAATCGCGAACAGACTCAAAATGAGTGGGGGGGGGGGGGCGAAGGGGTTCTGAACAGAATGTGAGATAGTTATACATGGAACGTTTTGTAAGAGAGGTATAAAGCACCAAGAAGATGTGCAAAGGTTGAACGTGGGTGGGGGTAAGTCATGTGAAAGGGAGTGAGAGAAACGAGGACGTAAAAGAGGTGTAGGGAAAAAGTCAGGGAGAAATGGGAGAGGTTCTGAAAAGGAAACGTGATAAAAGGAGGGAGTGAGAAAATAGTGAAGGAGTGATTTACGGTTGAACATCCAAAAGTTGGAAGTATGTAGAACTAAATATTTACCAAAGAAAGTTGAAGAGTAGGGAAGACGAAACAGTCAAAGGGGGATTCTAATACTGAAGAGCCGGAGGTATGCATTTGAAATCAGGGAACCGAGAAACCTAGGCAGAGCAAAAATTTGACTTACCGATCACACCTTTACTCTGCAAAGGTATGTGCGGAATTCACCTCTCGTCTAGGCGAAGTAAAGGTCTGATGGGGTAAGTCAGATTTCTACTCTGCCTAGGTTTGTGCCGAAGTCACCTTCGGCTCGCTCGTCCCTGGTTTTAACAGTATCACCCTTGCGTGTACGTGTAATGACACGCATATTTTAATCTCGTATGAGCCGTAGGAATGCATTTGGAATTAGTGCCGAGCCAGTCGAAGCCGAGTTCGGCACACACCTAGGCAGAGTAAAAATCTGACTTAACCATCAAACCATTACTCTGCAAGGGTTCGTGCAGAATTCACCTCTCGTCTAGGCGAAGTAAAGGGTCTGATGGGGTAAGTCAGATTTCTACTCTGCCTAGGTTTGTGCCGAGCCAGTCGAAGCCGAGTTCGGCACAAACCTAGGCAGAGTAAAAATCTGACTTAACCATGAAAACATTAATCTGCAAGGGTTCGTACAGAATTCACCTCTCGTCTAGGCGAAGTAGAGGTCTGATGGGGTAAGTCAGATTTCTACTCTGCCTAGGTTTGTGCCGAGCTCACCTTCGGCTCGCTCGGCAATAGTTTTAACAGTATCACCTTTGCGTGTAAGTGTAATGACACGCATATTTTAATCTCGTATGAGCCGTAGGAATGCATTTGGAATTAGTGCCGAGCCAGTCGAAGCCGAGTTCGGCACACACCTAGGCAGAGTAAAAATCTGACTTAACCATCAAACCATTACTCTGCAAGGGTTCGTGCAGAATTCACCTCTCGTCTAGGCGAAGTAAAGGTCTGATGGGGTAAGTCAGATTTCCAGTCTGCCTAGGTTTGTGCCGAACTCACCTTCGGCTCGCTCGGCCCTGGTTTTAACAGTATCACCTTTGCGTGTATGTGTAATGACACGCATATTTTAATCTCGTATGAGCCGAAGGAATGCATCTGGAATTAGTGCCGACTGGCTCGAAGCCGAGTTCGGCACAAACCTTTACTCTGCAAGCGTTTGTGCCGAACGAACCGAAGCACTAGACCCACCTTTACGTGGAAGTGTAATTACTTACATGCATTTATTCTAATTCCGCACAGGGAAACGTAACAGTTTTA